TATTTAATTTCTTATAACTAATCTTACTTTATAACCTAATAAAATATATTATAAAATTAAAAAGAAAAGATTATTATTAATATTTAAAAATTTAATATTATAATAAAAAATAATAGCTATTTATAATTCTTATAATTAAATATTAATATATTAATAATAAAATATATTTATATATCTATTATAGATAAAGTTATATAATTTTATTAATTCAATATAAAGCTTTCTAATAGATATAAATTTATTATTATTAATTATCGCGATTAAAAAGAATTTAATATAATACTTATAAAATATAAAGAATCTTTTTTATATATAATATTAAATAAATATTCTACTATATCTACTTTTTAATTTTATATATACTCTTATAAACGATATTTTTTTTTTTAATAAAGTCTTTTAAAAATATAAATTTTATTTTTAATAATTATTTTAATTATTATAAGAGAAATATACTTCTCTAATATTAATAAAAAAATTTCTAAGATTTCTATTTAGAATATTATTAAAATAGTACGTTAATTCTCTTAATATATCTATAGTAGAAGAAAAAATTAAAATAATTATTATATTTTAATTTTTATTAAACTTTTATAATTTAAATTTTTTTTTTAATTTAATAAGATAGCTAAGAAACTTAATTTTTAATAATATATAGCGTACTTAATTATTATAAAAATAAAAGATTTTTTTACTTAATTAATAATAATTAAATTAATTAATTTTTAAATTAACTCGAAATAATTATTATATTTACTACTATTATTTCTAAAAGATAATTTATTAAATTTATATATAAGCGAATTTTTATATAATTATATTACGAATTAATTTAGAAGAAACTTCTATCTTTTAAAGTTTATTAAATATTTTTTATTTATTCTTTTTTCTTATATACTTTAATTAATAGCGAAAATTATATATTAATATTAATATCTTTAAAATATAATTTCGCTATTATAATTTAATATATAAAAAAAAGAAAGAAAATTTTTATTTTTATTAGAGAAGATATATAAGCTATAATATTTCTAGATAAATTAATTAATATTATAAAATATAATTATTAATTTATATAATTTAAAATTATTATTATAATATAAATATTTTATAAAATTAGATATTTAATTAAAATATAAAAAATATTATTAATAATAATTTATTTAAATTACTTAATAAATTATACTTTTTACTTTATTTATAAAAATTTAATTTTTAATTAATTTATAATTTTTATTGTTTTTTAAAATTTAATTTATTATACGCTATAAGATTAATAAATTAAATCTTAATTTTAATATATTAATTAGATTTTAAATAGATATAGGATTTCGAAGAAAAATAAATAGTATTAAAGAGTTTTTATAATAATATTATAAAAGTTAAATATAAATAGATAATTTTATTTTAAAAAAAATTAATTCTTTATATAACTTTATTAAAATAAAATAATAACTTTAAAAAATATCTTATTAAAATATATTATAAGAATTTTTAATAAATTAAGATTCTTAATTTATTTAAATAGTTTAATTTGCTAGGAAAACTTTACTTTAAAAAATATATTAATTTTATTTTTAATATTATACTTAATTATATTAATAAATAATAATTTTATTTTTCTAATTTTATATTATAAGAAGTTTTTTAATTAGTATATAATTAGAGTTTTTATTTTAATTTTTATATTATTTATATTAGAATCTCGCTATTAATTTTTATTAAAAACTTATAAAATTATTTTTAAAATTATTTAAATTATTATTTAAAGTACTAATTTAATTAAATTAAATAATATCTTATTTATAGTATATTTAATCTAATTTCTACGCTATTATTTCTATTTTATATTATAATAATAAACTTTATTATTATATTTTCTTTCTAAAAAGATAAAAATATACTTTTTATTATAATTTATAAATTCTTTAAAAGAATATTTCTTATATTATAATTTAATAAATAGATTATCATTAATTAAATAAATACTTTATTTATTACTTTAATATCTTATAATTAATAATTATAATATTAAAATTATAAATATTTTTTAAAAAGTTATTTTTTAAAAAGTTAAGAATTACTATAGTAATTTTAATTACTTATTACTTTTAAATAAATAATTAATTAAAAAAAAATAGATTATTAAAATTATTTTATAATTTTATTTTATTACTAATATAAATAACTAACTAAATATATTTCTATTTTTTTAAATATATTTTAATAACTTAATTTTATTAAAAAGCTTTAAATTAAATAAAATTATCTATAGATTTTAAGTAAAAAATATATTATTTAGAAGATTTTAATTAATATTATAATAATAATTTATTATAATAATAATTATAAAGCTATTAATCTTCGCGAAAAACTATTACTTTATCTAAGACTATATTATAAATATTTTACTTTTAATATTACTTTTAAACTTTTTAATTAGAAAACTAAATTTTTTAAAATATTAAAGTAGATTAAAAATTTTATTTATCGATTAAATCTCTTAAGTATTATATATATTTATTTAATAATATTTATAATATAATAAAAATCGATATTAAATTAAATTAAAAATTTTATTATAGAAAATTATATTCGCTATAATTAATAAAAGAAATAAGAAAATATTAAATAAATTTAGATCTTATTATTAGATTTTTATTATTTAAAATTAATAAATTAAATAATAGATAAGAAAATATAAAAAGATTATTAAATATTTAATATGTTAAAAAAATAGTAATAAGAAATATAATATTTAATATTTATTATATATTCTTTTAAAAGTAAAGAATCTTATAATAGAATATAACGCTTAAATTTCTATTAATTTTAGAAGAAATTCTTAAGAAAGAAAGTAATTTATTACGTAAGTATTAATTAAGAAAATATCTACTCTACTAATATTTAAATTAAAATGAACTACTTCTATTAGAAAGTTAGATTATTCTTTAATTCGAATAATTTTCGCGAATCTATTCTTATTTAGATTATTATCTATCTCGCTATTAAATTCTTTTATTACTCGTAATAATATACGACTTCTTATTTAGTAAAACGTCTTTTTAAATAAAGAGTATTACGAAAAGAGAGAAAGTTTATACTTTATCTAAAGAAATAACTTTCTTTATTATAATTTACTTTGCTTTATATAAGAAGAAAGAAAGTCTCTACTTTATTTAAATAAATAATTTTTATATTTAAAGGTAATAGTCTAAGAAAGAAACCTGTGAAAGAAAAGTCGTTTTTTGCTTAAGGAAATAACTTTCTTATTTAATGGTGATAGTCTAAAGAAGAAAGATCGTTCTTATTTAAAGAAATAATTTTCTTTACTTATATAGCGAGAACGCTATCTCTCTTTCTTTCTTATTAAGAAATATTATAAATTAGATTTAATAGAAGCTAATAACTTAATATAGCTTAATATACTAGATATATTTAGATAATTAAATCCTATAAATTAAGAATTATTCTTTTATTACTTAAGAAATATCTTTTTTAGAAATGAGATTTCTAAGAATCTTATACTATTATAATACTTTCTTACTCGTTAAGATATAATATTTTATTTAAATAATTATATTATTAAATAAAATATGTATCGATAATATATATATTAGTTAGATATTTAATTAGAAAGCTTACTTTCTTAATACTTAAGTCTTAAAAACGAGAATAGATGCTACGCTAAGAGGCTAGTAATTAATTAGAATATCGAATTTTATTATTTTTAGTCTAAAATATATCTTATTTCTTTATTTTCAATCTAAACGCGGGTGTATACGAGTATATCTAAAAGAGAAAGTTGGAAAAGAACTTCAAAATCCTCAAATCTATCTTTTTTGATTTTTTATATTTTATTAAAAATTTGATAATAAACTAAGTACGTAGAGTTATATAATTATTTATTTATACGCTTTTAAATAATATAGCGTAGACGAAATTTGATAAAGTATTTATCTATCGAGCTTGCGAGAAGAGCCTCTTTAATAAAAGCCCTCGAAGAATCTTTAAAGAGCCCTCGAAGGGTTAGGGGAGTTTTAAGGGATCTCCCCCTAAGTATATTAAATAACTCTCTCGATTCTCAGAGTTAGATCTCTTAAAATTCCTTAAACCCTTCGAAGCTCTTTAAGGGCTCTTCGAAAGTTTCTATCGAGGGACTATTAGAATAAACTCGAAATTAATTAATCATTATTAAAATAATTAAATTTCGAGCTTACTTTGATAGCCTCTCGATAAAAGCTCTCGGAGAGCCTTTAAAGAGCCCTTGAAGGGCCCGAGGGGTTTTAAAGAGTCTCTCTAAGAATTAAACAGTCAAAAACCAATACTCGGCAAGCTTTTCACTACTGGGAAGCCCGCGCCCCAGCACATATTATATTAAGGCTTATATTAAGTCGGGTAGCTGCGGGTATAGCCGATAGCCACACTAGTGTGGATGGGGAACTGTCGGAGTGGAACTGTCAGAAGATAATTTGGAATTATCGTACCCTCCATGTGCAACAAAGTTCTGCCTCACACCTTCTCATTCGTTTTGCCTTGCTGCTTCTAGCTAACATAAGCATGTTTGATAATAGAATACTATGTAGACAAACGTCAAAGCTATACCTTATCTTACGTCTAGCAACTTCCAAGGGGGACTGTCCGCAGAATTTTTTTACTTAGTGACTAGGTTTGCTACGGAGCTGCGCTATCTTTTGAGCAGTTGCCGCCTCGCCGTTGTCATGCGTTTGACTTACGTCTGCCCTGTTTGCCTAAAAAAGGACAATCTATAAGACGGCCCCATAACAGAACGTCGAAAGGACTATGTTACTGTTCACACTCACTTCCACAAGCAAGTCATCTCTGCCTTCTCAGTCGGCTGATACTTAGAAACATCGATCGATTTCTTTGCACTGTTCTAACAATTCATCCTACGACCTAGCAGGCTAGCCAATTCGGCTCGCACATCATATCTGCGCGGACTACAACGCAGATTAGCACTTACTCAGACCTTGGTTTGAATGGCTGGGCTACCTCCTTCAGATATAATATCTGAGGATATGCGAGTCATCGCCGTCCCTTCCGAATCGAAACTCCGCTTATTGAATGCAATGGAGGGTTTACCCTCTCCCTACACGCAATTGGGGCCTCACTGTATTGCGTCACACAACGCAGTTTTGTCCCAGCTACCCCCAAGTCTAATAGCGGATATCCGGGACTTTCACTCGAACAGTCTCGCTCCAGGAGCTCTATTGATAACTGGGTTACCCTTGGATCCTGACTTGCCTTTGACCCCAGCGAACGGGGAGCGAAGTACGGAAAAGTCGTCACTCGTGAGTGAAGGGTGTCTTACAGGAATTGCGAAGCTTCTTGGGGAGCCGTTTTCTTACGCGAGCGAGAAAAACGGGGATCCGATTCATAACGTCTGCCCTGTTCGGCATCGCGAGACCGTACAGAGCAACGAATCTAGCAAGGTCACTTTGGGCTTGCATGTTGAGAATGCGTACTTCGATAAGCGACCTGACTACTTGGCTCTGTTTTGTTTGCGCCAAGATCACGAGAATAATGCGCGCACATCTTTCGTCGATGCAAGGTCTGCCTTGTCAAAAATGGATTCTATGGACAGAGCAGAGCTGCAAAAGCCGGTCTTCATCGTGCCTTCTCCACAATCTCATCACGAGGCCACGGGCGGCGAGAAATGGTCCACACCACGGCCCTTGTTTGAGAACCTTGATGACCCGAAGCTTATGTGTCATTTTCCGGGGATGAAGGCGACAACTCCAAAATCTCAAGAGGCGCTCGACAAGTTCGAGGAGACAGCTCAGGATATTGCTACACACATCACTCTACAACCAGGCAGTATTCTCTTGCTCAACAACCAAAAAGTTGCTCATGGTCGCAGCCATTTTGAACCGCGCTATGATGGTACTGACCGTTGGTTGCAGAGAATCTATATTAGAGTGCAAGGCTCCTGATAGTCCGACTAGTCCGTTCACAGGCCTAGACTAGTCTAAAATGAAGCTATTCACATAGTCCACAGTCCGTCCGAATGCTAAACCGTCCAAGTAGATTTAGATCAGTCCACGGACTAGTCCGGCTACTCCTCTATAGCTTTCAAAGCATCTTCCTCCAAAGTATCGACAATGGCATATAGATCTTCCTCCGTAAAGAGACCTAATTGAAACCATGACTTCAGACACTTTAATAGCTCTATAGTCTCAGCCTTGAGGCTAGCTCTTTAATCCGAAATCCTATATTTAACCTCTAAAAACACACGTTCTAACTTCGTAGATATAGTAGGTATAGAGTAGATGTTAATGGCCATCTTTGATAGTAGAGAGAATCGCTTTCGTTGCTCTAATTCTAGTCACTAATCGTATGCTATCTATCCCTTCTTACGGCGTATATAAAACTTATTAATATATCTATTAAATTCGTTACTAATAATAGATTCCTTATTCTAATTATTTAGTTATTAAATAAATTAATTATCGCTTACTATAGTAGAATTATAAATAAAAGTAAATATATAATTAATTAATTAAATCGATAGAGAATCGATATATAATTTTCTAAAACTTCTTTATTATAATCTTTATCTTCGATTACTAGATAGAATCTCACCGCTCGAAATAAAATTATTTCTTAATAAAAACTAAGAATAATTATCGCGATATAAGTTAATAATTTTTTAATCTTATATTAATACTTTAATAGCTTAATAAACTTGATATAAAGGGACTCTCGTATAAAAGTGTAATTCTCAATTTTTTTTATAACCTTCTTAAAATAATTAGCTAGAAAATTTATAATAAAAAAGATTAATTTTAAGATAGCTTTATAATCTTCGATTATCTTAATAGTATTATAAAAGATCTATAAGAAATTACGAATATAATTAAGAATAATTAACTTGTTAATAGTGAGTATATTCTTCGATAAGTCGAGTTTCTTATTAATAATAACTATAATAGCTAGTTTAAACCTTCGAATAGTCTAATTAAGTATATTATATTAAGAATTTTATCTAATACTATAATCTCGATATAGTATAAGTCTATTACTTCGTTTTTTAAAGGACTAAATATATTAAAAGCTTCTTATAATCTAGATAATAATATTATATAGCTTATCGAGATATCTTAGCTTTTAAGCTATCATTTTTTACTCTATTATATAATTAATAATAATTTTAAAAATTCTTATAGATATATAATAATTATTATAGAAATAGCTTTATTAATTAGCTATTTTATTAATATTAGCTATATTAATAAGTATCTTAAAATTCTTATTAATTAACTTAATTAATAACTTATTAATTAACTCTAAATTCTATTTTATTAATTTCTCGATAATCACTTTCAATTCTATTTTATTAATTTCTCGATAATCGCTCTAAATTATTATAGAGTTAAATTTATTAAATTAATCTTTAAACTAATTAAATTCTTATTATAAAGAAATTAATAAAAAGTAGAGAAGTAGATTAAACGCTAGCTTCTTTAATTAATATTAAAATAGATCTATATAATAGTAGAGTATTACTTATTAAACTAGTAAGATAAACTCTATAATCTATACGTCTTTCGATTTTAATTTTAAATCGATATTTAAAAATACTTTAATTTTTTTAATAAGAGAACTCGAAAATTATTACGCTAATAAGGAATTTACCTATTATTAATAATATTAAAAAGATAAAATTAAAGAATACTTTATTAAAATAAATAATATTTATATAAATACTACTATTATAATTCTTTATATTTTATCTATTAATTCTAATTAACGTTATTATTACGCTATTTTCTTATTAAAAAATAAGCTTTATAAGTATCTTAATAACATTAATAAAAGTCGTTATATAGCTAGATTAAATTATTAAAAGCGATTATTATTAGAATTTATAATAAGGTATTTTATTTTTAAAAAATCTATTTTTATAACAGTATTTTTTCTTATAATAGAGAATTTTTAAAAAAAAATTAAATTCTTTACTACTTCTTTCTAGAAAAATATCTTTAATTATATTTTTTATACAATATAAAGATTAATAAAATAATTAAAAATATTAAATTTAAAAAGTTATATTTTAATATAAGTTACGAGTACGAAGGTTATTATTAAAAGTTCTAAATATTAGAATTAGAGCTTTAAAACTCTTAATATTCTTAATAAATATCTTAAATATCTTAAATATTAATACTTTACATAGTAGCGATATTAATACTATATATATAAAGTATATAATAGCGATATTACTATATATATACGAGGTATATAATTATAATATTACTATATATATAGTAGCGATAATAGTATATATCTAGATATATTATCGAAGTTATTCGTTTACGAGGCGATAACGAGTATCGAGAAGATTATAAAGAAGAAAATAAGTAATTCTATAATCTAGCTAATTAAGTAAATTAGTATATATATAATTATATAAAATATCGTATATAGATTATGAAGCTATTTAAGAAATTTGTTAAAATACTAGAAATGCTAAGAATATTAAGGGTTTTAGCGTATATTCAGAACTTTCGATAATAACCTCCGTATAGGCCTATAAATTAAATCTATAATCATTTTTTTGATTAGGGCTATCGAGTAAAACTAATAAACGATCTTTAATGAGCGATACTTAAATACCCTCCTTTTTAATAATTATAAGATCAAATTTAGAAATTCTTTTTTTATTTAAAAGCCTATATTTAGTTCTATAATTTAGGAAATAAGTCTTAAAAATTCAATAGAAAATGTAAAAGTTATTCTGAAATTAAATAATGTATACCTATACCTATTTTTAAATTAAGGCTGTTCGGCTGTCGAGCGAACTTTAATAAACGATATCTAAATTCCTTACGATTTAATAATTATAAGACTAAATTTAAAAATTCTTTTTTTATCTAAAAGCCTATATTTCGTTCTATATTTCAAAAATAAAATCTCAAAATTTTAATAGAAAATAAAAAAGTTATTTTATATATTAATAATATATATCTAATTTTTAATAAGAAGACGGGGGAGAGCGAGATTTTAATAGTTATAAACGCTAATTTATTTACTCGCGATAACTTAGCTAATATAGCTAAAAAGTCTAGAGTATTCGAATTTATAATTAACTATATATATAAATTTAAGATTTTCTAATTTAGCTCTATCTTATTATATTATATATACTAATTTAATAATATTTATAAATTATATTTAATTATAATAAGTTTTATTTAAAAAGAAAGTTCGCTAAATAACGAGTTTAATTATAATAAAAAATAAAAAATCTAATTAATATTAAATCTCGAAATACGCTATTTATTTATTATTATTATTAAAATATAAAAATAAGAAATCTATAATAGTAATAATAGCGTTAAAAGAGATTTATATCATTAATAATTTTAGAATAAAAATATATATTAATATAAATATTATAATATTTAAAGAAATTAATATTCTAATATCTAAATTTATAATATAGATTAAAAATTATAAAATAGATATTATTTTAGAAAAATATATTAAAGATTAATTAATATTATATTTAATATATATAAAATATTTTATTAATAAATCGCGATTTCTTCTTTAAATTAAATGAAATCTCGCTATTATTATATACTCTTCTTATTAATATTTTTATAAATTTTATAATCGCTAAGAATAACTTTAATTAAATTATTAAATCTTTTTAAAATCTTTATTTTAACACTTTTTAAAGAGTAAATTTTAATAATTATTTTTAAATTATTAAGGAAAAGTTTAATATAGTTAATTTAGCTATAAAAATATTAAATAAATTAAATTTTATAAATTTTATAAAAATTATAATAGATTTAATAATTATTTACTCGCTATAAATATAATATTTATATTAGAGGCTATTAAAGTTACTTCTACTTATAAAATAAGTTACTTATTTACCCCTATAGCCCTATTTCAGCTCTATAATAAGTAGAAAAAAAACGACTTTTAAATAGTAACTTCGGATCTGCTATTTAACTTTATAAGCTACTTATTACGTATTCTATTACATATTCTAGAGTAGCCTTCTATATATATAATACGCTATCTCTTATCAAGTTTAATTTTATAGACGTTATAGCTAAAAAGAAGTTTAAACGCGTCTTAATAGACGTCTATATTAGCTATCTACTTATTAAGAAGATAACTAATACTTTAGATAGTAGCGATTTTATCCCGTCTAACTCAGAGATGAATCGCTTTAATAATAGCTTTAAGAGATATTTTATATGGTTATAGGCCACTGTTAAGAATCGTTCGAGGGTCGAGGATAAAAGTCTCTATCGACTTTTGGTGGGGGCTGCGGGAGAAAGTCGATAGAGACTTTTTATACCCGACCCCGGATCGTTTTATTTATTAAGACTCTATATCGAATATAGTTAATACGATATTATTATTATAAGACTATTTAAGAAGAAAAAGAAATAGTTACTATCTATAAGTAGAAATAATTAGAGTATTATTAAAGAACTAGTAGCTTATTACATTTTTAACTAGAAGAAGTAGAAGTAACTTTAATAGCCTCTATTATCTTATTATCTATTTTTAAAATCGATATAATTTTATTTTAGAAATTATTATATTTTTAATAAAAATAGATATTATACTTCTTAAAAGCGCTATAATCTAGAAAAGAATTTAATAATTTAATTTATTATTAAGAGATTTTTTCAACTCTAATAAAAAAATTATCGAAATTTCGAAAAGAAAATAAATACGTTTTCTCTAAACTTAATTAAAAATAGTATATATATAAAATAATAAAAATATATTTATTTAATAAGAATATTAATAATTTTATTAATAAGACTTTTAATAAATTTATAAATAAGATCGTCTTAATTAAATTATAAAATTTGTATTTTTTTATTATTAATTATTAATTATTTAAAAAATAATATTAAATAATATAGAAAAAAGTTATATTATTATAAATATATAAGATTTAAACTCTATTATTTAAGTAGATATTTATTTAT